TTTACCAACAGGCAAATTAAACACAGAAAGGTGAAAGTTATTCTTTGGGCAACCTCAGGGTAAAATTCTAGAATTTTATTTAAGGGGCACGTACTGACGTAATTCGGTGTCAGATGAGTTATATAAGATTTGCCTAAATAGTAAAAGTGCAACTTACATGTATACAAGTGAAATGTATGTGAAAATCCAGAAATTTCCAAAGTGAGGTTATCTACGGGTTTGGTCTCACTATAGATAGACTAAGGTGTGGTAAGTGAGTTCTATAGTAGCTCTATCCACGTTGTATCCATTATACGTAGAACTCCACATGGTTCTGTCACAGTGGTACCAAGAGAGTTGCTGAAGAATGGCTACCAAAGCCCCAACTGAGAGCAATCTAGATCCAGTCTAGAATCTCTCTAAATACAGCCTAGCAACTGTCCAACTATAGCCTAAGACTGTCTAGCTACAGCCTAGCACTAGGACCCTCTAAGTGAGGGATGCTCTAAGCCAAAGGTGAAGTCTTAAACTTCCAAATGCTGCTCGGAACAGTCAGAAACAGAATCCAAAATGACCAAGGGACGACTCTAGACAATTATCAACAAGAAATTAGTCCAAAACTTGAGCTCCCTGGCACAAAATTCCAAAAAGTCTCGCCCCAAAAACAATCAGGGCCGAGACGGCCGAGGCCGACCTTTCAGTCTCAAGTCTCAAGATCGAAAGGGGAGATTCTTCATTTAGATTTTGAAAGAAGGCTTCCATTTGTCAAACTTCTAATTTTGACATTGAAGAAAATTATAGAAAAAGACGTGTTCAGTTTCACCCCAAAAGTACGAACTGAAAAGTTGGTTGTGTAAAAATGACTGGTGAATGTTGAAAAATGCCTATAGAACATATATCAAAAAGTAGAACAGGTCAACGAAAACGCCTAGACAAAACAGCTGTTCAATGGCATGATCGAAATGAAAAATCAAAAGAAGTAAACAACAATTTATCATAACCTCAGATTATTTATTAATTGGATTTGCAAACAGAGATGATGAAAAAATCTCTCCTTTATATAAGATTCTAATCAATAACAGCGGGCCCTGCCGTACTGAATCAAATCTTCCTAGATCAATTAACCAAACTTGCAAACCTGAACCAAAAAAATCTTTCAGTAGAAGGCAGTACTCAAGGTAACAAAATCTGGGCACAGAAAAAATAGTTGTTTATTCATTTATTTCTTTATAGTTCTATAAGGAATCAAACAAGGTAGCTTATTAGCCAAGAAATTGAAAACGTTACAATCAAATAAATTCAATTTAATCTGGCGTATCCATTCCCGCCTCAATTAAGGGTTCCCTATCACATGCAACAACGTATAAATTCAGGTCGTAATTTATATTTCCAAATTTCACTTTGCATGGATAGAATCCAAGTACAGTCAAAGAATTCTGATAATATGAAATGAGTTTCAGGTTAGTCGATTGGACGAACGAGTTTGGAAAAAGTAAATCGAATTGACGCTTACCCATTACTGTTACAGCTGCACCACTGTCAATCAGAAAATCAACTTTTTTGTTATCAACGATAAAAGACTGAATAAACATTTCTCGAAACATATCTTGTTCTGATTCCAGTGCCACAATGTCCTGGATCGTACCTTGTGATTCGAACTGACACTTTCCTACATACTTTCTGTAAATGGCCTTTCCTTTGACAAAAAGAACATAAAAGGTTAGTTTTTTTACAACTAAAACAGAATTTTTTTTGTAAAATGTTTTTGTTTTCTTTTGATTGTGATGAAAAAAATGAAAGATTTCCTTCCTTTCCCGAATGAAACTCGGCAGTGTTTCTTGCAGACAATTCCATTGCAACCGCTACCTCTACAGCTCGATCCAGTGTAAGATTTCGTGTTTCCAAAAGGCGATTTGTATTTGAAGACTAAATAGGCCGAAAACAAATTGATTCCAAATTGCTGTTGTTAAATAATTCCCAAAATTACAATGAATGGATAGTTTTTGTAACGACTTCAAAAAATCTTGAACGTTTTCACCTTCTTCTTGTTTTCGCCTATGAAACCGAAAAATGTCTGCAATTTCTAATGGTGCCGGATCATAAAACTCTTGTAGCAATTTAATAATTACTTCGTATTGTTCAGTATTAGGACTTTTTGGGGTTAATTTATCGCAAATAACATCATATGTCTCAGGCCCCATATAATGCAATAAATATCGTACCTTTTTTTCTTCAGAAACATTGAAAATATCTAAAGCCCCCTCAAATCTTTCAATCCATCGGGTCCATGGTATTTTACTATTATCGAATGATTCGATATTGAAGGCATTGCTTATGGAGTTCTGTTGGTGTGGCCCCGTACAAGGTATTGGTGGAATATCCAACGTTCTTCTGTTGCGAGGCATTGTAGATTCTTCGTGATCCTCGTCGCCAACTGTTGTATCTCCTACCACTTAGGAGTATTGAATAAATCCAATTTCAATGGAGAGCGTAATTGACATTTTATTTAATAAAGTGATATATCTCTGACAATGACAATATTTCTAACTGGTACAATATAGGTACCTAACTAAACAGGTAGTAAATGACACTCATAACACCACTCTTACCAGTTTCCAACGATAAAATATAATTTTTTACGTTACGTAACGTAGTAAAACTTAGCAATTTTGGAGATATCGCTAATCAATGATTTTTTAAAATGATTACAAAAAAATGACATTTCATCGTTGAAAGCTGGTAAGAGCGGTAAGTTCTCGTCTAGTCGTCTAGTCTTCCTAATTACTATTGTTTTTAATTAATATATTGAAAATGTGTCCAAATCAAATATGCTAAATTTTGCTTTAATCTAGCTGCACCTGGTTCACTTTTACTTAATTCACCTTGGTAAAAGGTGAACCAGGTGAAGCTTGAAGAGCAAAATTCAGCATATTTGATCTAATATTGGACACATTTTCAATATACCGGTCTATTCTGTAACTCTAATCAAATCGACAATCGAAAACTTGAATCGATAACTGTGGAAAAATGTCCATAGTTATCGATTCAAGTTGTATCGTTTCCCTATTTTCCTGTCTTTTCTGGTATTTCGGATTTCTCGGGCGCCACCCCTTTGTGATTTACAGCGTCAAAGGGGACCGCTGATATGCCTGTTGGGTAGCCTTTAAACAGTGAAGAAGACGGTGATCCAAGGTTCAGTGCAAATAATACAACTTGTTCAACAAAATTAATTCAATTTATTCTTAGCCACTATGAAACACTAGTAATATACATTGTGACGGGAATAATAATAGTCACCCTATTTACGCCGGTTTTGACAACAATATTTTCCACGCTAACGGTATTTAGCACGGTAACACTATTTATCACGGTAACTCAACTTGTCACAGCAACGTTATTTGTTACGGTAACGCAATTTGTCACGGTAACGTTATTTCATTACGGCACGCTATTTCATTACGGCACGCTATTTACTTTTGTATCGTTATTTATTATGTTCACGGTATGGGCGGATTTAGCTCCAGCTCCAGAATCCGAATGTCGAGAAATTTACAATAAACAGTCTAATAAGTAGACTCAGTTCGGAAATTTTCGGTAAAGAGGGATTGCATCTAGGATATTTTCCGGCGTAAATTCAAATGGACTGGTCAGGATAGTTTCAGGACGGAATTATCGGGATTACTCCACAATTTAGGGAATCGGGATTTCTACACAATAAAGGAATCGGGATTACTCAACAAATAGACAATCGGGATTTCTCCACAATAAGGAAGTCGGTTGAAAATCGGGATTACTCCACAATTAGGGAATCGGGATTTCTCTACAATAAGGAAGTCGGTTACGGTAGTCGGTTAAATATCGGGATTACTCCACAATTAGGGAATCGGGATTTCTCCACAATAAGGAAGTCGGTTACGGTAGTCGGTTAAATATCGGGATTACTTCACAATTAGGGAATCGGGATTTCTCCACAATAAGGAAGTCGGTTACGGTAGTCGGTTAAAAATCGGAATTACTCCACAATTAGGGAATCGGGATTTCTCTACAATAGGGAAATTGGATACGGTAGCGGATAACGGAAAACTGATATTACTGAGTTTTACTTACCAAAATACTTCGATCGGTATACACTGGAGCTCGTAACTAGGCTGCTGGCGGTGGCTCCTGTTGCCAGAACTCGAATGATTTCCCCTGGTACCGCGTCGTACCCAGCTCGGTTCGAAAGCCTTGGTTCGGCTTTATGGTCTGGTGGGGGATCGGTCGCGATCAGAGACAAGCGTCGTACACTCGGTACCATGTAATTTTTGCGCGTTCATTTCGCCTGGGAAAATTCGTAGCAATTTCCCAATGTTTCCGCGATAGTTGCGGGAAATTTTCACTATGTAAATAGGATGACGTGATTTTTATTATTTCTAAAATGAAAAAGAACGGGGCGATTGGTTGAAAAATAGGAAAGTTACCCTTACGGATTTAGAAAAATTATGCAACTTCATTACAAAGTTTTCGATTGTCGATTCGATTTGAGTTACAGAATAGACCCGATAATATTCAAAAACAATAGTAATTAGCAAGGCTAGGAACTTACCAGTCTTACCAGCTTCCAACCATGAAATATATTATTTTTTCGTAATTCATTTTAAAAATTAATGATTAGCGATATCTCCAAAATTGCTGAATTTAACTATAGGACATGTAACATATATTAGGGCTCAAATTTAATGTAGAATCCAAAAACATATTAATAAAAGGGTTCTTCCATTTAAAGTAAGCAAGAAATGAACCATTTTTTGCTATATTTTCTGAAACCGAGGTTCCATTTTTTTATGATAAATGCTCCTAATTCCTTATAAAAATCCCAACAACTTTTATATTTAACTCTTTTAAATCTCTTCAATTAACAGGTATATAAGGTAAGAAGCACTTTCGTTGGATAACCCTATACATAATATGACTATTCTGGATATTGAGGAAGAAATTAGAAAAAAAGTTCAAGAAACTCAATAATTATCATAGCCAGGTATATGACATACTTTATAAAAAAGGAAGCTTATTACTTGGTAGAAAAGTTAAGACAAAAACAATTAAGGGCATTCCATTTACTTATCGAAAAGGCCAAATATTATTCCAGGATTTTTGACAGCACCCCGGATATTTACCACAAAGATCAAACAAGCCAAGTATTACGATACGTGATGATTGAAAAACAGGAAGTTAGAGTAGAGGAATCTTTTATAGATTCCATTGAAACAAAAAGCAAAACTGCGGAAGGTATAACCGACATGATAGTAATCAATCTTAAAGCTGATGAGCTCGACATTATGAACTGTAGAGGGCAAGCTTATGATAATGCTGCCACGATGGCTGGATGCCACACAGGTGTGCAAGAGCGGATAAAGGATATTAATTCCAATGCAGAATTTGTTTCTTGCTCGAATCATTCTCTAAACCTAGTTTGCCTACATGCAGCTTCAGTGGAGGTAAATTTGGTGGCTTTCTTTGGTACACTAGGACGCTCCTAGGTTTTTTTTTCTACGTCGACGCACCGGTGGGTAGTTCTCCTTGCAGCCACAGGAAACAGTTTGAAGAGAATTCAGGACACACGTTGGAGCGCTAGAGGGGATGCTGTAAATTCCATTAGACATCATTAGAAAGAAACGTTAGCTGCACTGGCAAAACTGACGGAAACGAATGAAAGCTTGAACACACGGACAGATGCAGGAAGTTTATTAGTCGCTATGCAATCATTTTCTTTTTAATGCTACTTAGGCTTCTGGCAACCGGTATTGCGTGATGTCAATGATGCTCAAAAATATTTGCAAACAGAGGGACTAAACATACATCAATGTGCTCATAAAATAAGTGCTTTACAGAAAGTATCAGAAAAAAACCGGGAGGAATTCATGGATGACGCTTTAAGATATGCTAAAAGTTTATGTGAAGAGCTTGGAATTTCTTTTGAACTACCAAGACGAAGAAGAAAGCATATATTTGGCGACGGAAATAAAGATGCTGAGTTATCGTACGAAGATGACTTGAGGCGAACAATGTTTTCTTCAATAGACAGAGTAACTGCTGAAATTCGAGAAAGATTCTAACAGCTGCAAAATCTAGCGCAAAAATACTCCTTTTTAGGACCTGCAGGGATATTGGACGTGGACGAACTTAACTTAGATCAAGCTCCTCAAGACATTGATAAAGAAGAATTTCAACTTGAGCGCGTACGTCTACGAACTTCCGTGGCTGCAGCAGATCCAGACTGTAAAAAAGAGCTCATTAGGTTCGGATCTCTGGGTTTATTGGAATATATTATTGAGTCCAAACTTGAAGATGGCTTACCAAACATTGTCATAGCGTTGAGAATTTTTTTAACATCTGCCTTTGCAGTGCCAGTTGTGAAAGAAGCTTCTCTAAACTAAAGTTAATCAAAAATTATCTCAGATCGACTATGTCCACGTCGAGACTTTTAAATTTAGCTATTCTGACAATTGAACATGATAAAAATATTGATATTGATAATTGTATAAAAGATTTTGCTGTAAAAAAGACACGAAAAGTCCATTTTTAATGAATAAAAAAATTTAAAGATGGTTTATTTGACTTTTACTACTTTTCTTAACTAATATATAAAATAGAGGGGGCGGCAAATTTCCGATCGGCCCCAGGTGACGGAAAGAAATCCCACGCTACGCCACTGCCCGGGCGTTGCAGACTCAAAGTCATAGTTATAACCTACCTCGTGGTGAATGGCAGTGCAAGTCAAGACAAGGTCTATAGAAGGAAAACCAATGAACTATAAACTATATGTACCTGGAATGGCCCGGCCTATCTCTAAAATGCGGCAAATTGGGATGGAGAATGTGGGGGATACGTATATCTATTTACCTTATGGGCCATTTATGAAAATCTTTCCTTGTCTAAAAAATATTATATTTGAGGCTAAGAATACAAACTAAACCTAACAGCAATGAAATAGAGAGAGAAAGGTATCCCCCACTATATAGCTATTTTTGGACGCACTAAGAGAGATGACAAATGCCCGAGCACATTTGGAACCTTGATGAGACCAGTTTTTGCGCAAATCCTTCGAAAACTGAAGTGGTCGGGAGCATCGGAAGCAATTCCTTCAATTATCTTCATATGGAAGGATGTTTACGGCGAATGGACTGCCGACGAACAAGATCCCGCACACCCTACAATGTCATATGCTGCAATTAAGAAAGGATGGATGGAGAGTTCAGTTTTAAACAATTATTTCGAAAAGAATTTAGTCAAACAGTTTGGAGACCGTAGACCGATCTTTCTGATCTACGATTGCCACTCTACTCATGCTTCTTGGTTCGCATCGCAAATTGCCACCATGGCTTAGGTTGGTGTAGGTGTCGATATTTGAATAAACAGTGATACAAATTGGTTATTTTAATCCATCAAAAAGAAACAAAATGATTGAATTAAATACTTGTTTGGTCAATAACTACAGTTCCTACTGGTTATTTACAAATAATAATAAAACAAAATATTGGAAAACAGATCAAGTTAATTTATTGGTTTTGAAATGGTTAAGTACTGCTGTTGACTTATGCAATGCAATAACAATAATACGACAAATGGTAAGCAAGATTTTACTTGCGAGTGATCACCCCCTTGTGCAAATAATTGAAAATAAAAATAAGTAGTTACTAACATTTAAGTAACGATTATGTAAATGTTAATAGAAATCTAAATTGAAAATAACAGAATCAACTTTCACAAACCTTCGTCACGTTAACAGTAACAATAATTGATGGATATTTATTCTTGGTCTCAGTAGCGTCATCTGTATGAATTTTTACCTGGTATCTCAAGTTTATTAAACATAAACTTTTCTTTAATATAAACTTATTTACTACAATTAAATTTCGTTCTCTGACAAACAGAGGGACCTACTAATTTTAAAATTATTCTTTAATTTACGTATTATTTGTGTTTCCTGAAACCCGCATTCCAAAGCTGTTTTTCAAGTTTGCATTCAGGAATCTTGCCGGAATTTAACTGAGTGTCAGGTATGTACAAATTTTGCTATTTTGGGTATTCGAAGCCGATTGTTGATTTTGTATTTTCTTTATTCTTTCAATATGATATGAGATTAATAAGTGTGTCAAGAATTAATTCATTGATGCTCTAAATCTTACAAATTTTTCTAAAAAAAATATTTTTTATAAAAAAAAACTAGACTTTAACCTTGTCATTTCAAGTTGGATAGCACAAGACTTCCTAAGAAAAAATTGTTATAGCTACAAAATTGATAGTGCTCAAAATGACTAAAACAGTACAAGTTTCGTCTATTTTTGAATGCGTTTTCTCAAAAACCACTGCACCAGATTCAAAAAAATAGGCACCGTTGAAAAGAGAATTCGACGACCTTTTAAATGGGTTATCGCTTGACCCCTACTGCCATTTAAGATTTAAGGGTTGGAGCTTACCCCCGCAAGTGGGTTGAAGTGATAACATTGAAAATATGTGCAAAAGATTTCTCCCTCCGAATAAAAATCGACGGGTCCGAGCGATTTTTTTCAATGAACGATGAATACGAGATATCGACCTTGTTTCGTTTCCGCTGGCCCACCCCGTATTTATTTCAGTTTAATTGGTGTTAATAAAAGACGCTTGCCCTTCAACAATTGTGTTTTGTTGGCCTTAACCTTCCTTCCTTTACATTTTGCGCTCAACGAGGAGGCCAACAAGGGGCTAAAATGCCGAATTTACAATATTCGCCGTCTGGTGCGACACCAGGAGCTACCAACACTACAGCCATAGCTACTATTGCTACTGGAACAACTCCTAGAACAACAGGAGGAGGTCGTCGTCCAATACGCCAACCGGCGAACTTGAAAGAGTTTGAAATGAGAGGTTTTGCTGCAAGAAGAACTGATCCGTTGTTGCCTAGAAGGAGAAATTTAGGCTTCTCTGTGTTAGGAACTTATTGAATTGACAATTTACCTATCAATTCAATTATTCCCTAACTAGGAATTTTAATTTACGTGGTGAACCAAATTGCAGAAATGCATAATTATGTCGCAATGAAACTGCCACAATGAATTTATTGTACCTGTTTTTTAGATTTGGCAGAAGAATTAGCATTGTCAAAAATTAATCAAAAAATTTGTCAAACCCGCGAATAAGTAGTGAATTTTCCTAATGAAACGGGCGCGTTTGGTGCTAGAAACCAACTTTATGTTTTGATAAGTCGTCGCCTTATCCGCGTACACAGGATTTCTATTCAAAATCACTTTAAAATTTCCTGCATTTTGGGTTGACCAGCTGATATCGTAAATTTTGGTATTCGATAAAGTTTTCCAGTCTTGTTCTTGAAACGTACAATAAATGTATACAAGGTGAGTCAAGCTTGTAATTTCATTACGTATTGCTTCACAGGCTCGACGCTGTGCGAAACAATATACGTGTCTTTGGGCAAGAATCTTGCAGCAAATTTATATAAAAATTTGCATGACAAGTAGCCGACTGTTATAATAAAAATCTACCGAGACTCAGTTGATTTCATACCAGTATTATTGGTCCTTCGAGCCGGATCCGTATGGACGAGTTCGTGACAAGTGAAAAGATAAAGTAACATTGAATCCAATTCATTTGGTTTTGTGAACAAGTCGAGTTCTGGGCAAACTGACAATTTGTTGTGTCACAGTGATCTTGAGTTGTGACCGGAATTCATCCAGCCCGATCAGAATCAGTAATTCGTTGTTCGCGAGGAACGTTGAATCCGCTCATAAGCAACAACAACGGTTGCAGTGCACCTTTTGAGCTGCGTCTTTTCTGTTTGGTAATATTTATTTAGGGTATTTGACAGAAACAGGTAACTTTAATCTAATTCAAAATAACTAGTCTGTTTATATTTCACTAACTAGTAACATCCATACCTACTTACACAACAAAAACAAAAAATCATGTCTAGGAAGGGGAGAAAACATGCAAGTAACATTGATAAAATTGATTTAGAAGTAGATAGAGTTGCCAAAGATAGAGCACATTTGATTCAAAAAAGAGGAGTCATTAAATCAAAACTCACGCGATTTATAAAATTTTTCGATAACATAAAAAGTAATTCCCAGAATTCATCTTCCACAAAATTATATGAACTTGAGTTACGATTAAAAAATATTGAAGGTGAGCTCTTGGAACAGTTTTGTGCTAACGAATTCGAATTAGAAGCTCTAGATTTGGAGAACTATGATGCTAGTGAGGTAGATGCATTTGAATCTCAATGTTTTACACCAACTTTGGCAGAAGTAAGAGCTTTTTTGATGTCATTTTAACGTGTGCAAAACCCTTCAGTACCTTCAAAGAACTGGTGGTCAATTCACAAAAAAAAAATGGGTATACGCTATCCAGACATAAAGTTGCCACTTTTCACTGGCAATTATGAAAAATGGCTTGAATTCAAGGAGCTGTACATGTCACTAATCCATAATAACTCAGATCTTGATTTAATACAAAAATTTCACTATTTGCGAGCATTATTGGAGGGATCAGCTGCCCAGTGTATTCAAAATATAGACTTGCTAAATCAAAATTATTCAATTGCATGGGACATACTATGCAATCGATTTGATAATAAGCAATTAATGGTGCATAAACATATTAAAAATCTTTTCACCATACATGATGTCAAACCAGATTCTCCATCGTCGTTCAGGTATTTGGTAGATACTATATCTAAAAACATGAGATCTTTGGAAACATTAAAAATTAACACTCAATCTTGGGATCCTCTCATAATTTTCTTAGTAACAAGTAAATTGGACGTAGATACTCTGCATGAGTGTGAAAAATTGGAGTTTCAGGGAGATCTTCCTACTTTGGATGAATTAAAGGTGTTTTTATCAAATCGTGCTGACTTGTTTGATAAACTAACCATGCACAAGTCAAAATTTAAACCAAAAAATCCCAACATTTCGTCTCCAAAGGTCTTAGTTTCGAATGAACTGGATAATCAAAATAGTTATAAGTTTTCATGTTATTGTTGCAAGGGAGCACATTCGATCTTCAAGTGTCCTGAATTTAAATCGTTATCCATTCCGAAAAGGCGTGAAAAAAATCGTAC